TCAAGCAAGTTTCCCAAAACTTCGGTTTGATCGCAAAACGAAACTCAAAACACGACGTTAACCATCGACCTGTCCGAGATTAAAAGCTTCCACCATTGCCAGGGAACCAGTGGAGGGTCTCTTGTCTCTGTTTCTGCCAAACTGACGTTGTTGTTTATAATCTTGTTAACTAGATCACTAATCGTTTAACATGAACATAGAACATATAAATCTTACTCTTTGATATTTTCTTTGATGTTAATATTGGGCTTTTGCCACAGTATCTTGCCCGGCAGCGAGAATCTGGCTGATTTGGTCGCAGACAGTGACGGACCTCTTCTTTCCAAATGATGAATGTTTGTGCCCTCTTCATAATATCTACCGAAATCCATCGGCAGTAAAGTCGTTCCTATGTACGAAGGAATTCATCTAAGAACATTTTCTGAGACTTAACACTTCTTGGCACGAGAAGATACCTCAGTGTGTGATTTAGAATAACGAGAAATACTGATTTTATACTTTCCTTCATTCCATTGTATGCAAAAATGTACTATATTAAGCTGATGTATAGTGTCCACTCTAAAATTTTATCGTTTCTTTCCAGTATGCACAAAATGTACTGCTCTTAAAAAATGTCTGTTTTTTATGTATTTTATTTCGAGTTGGTGAGTAACCCTGAGCTTTTGCTAACACAATACGTTACAATAGCTCAAACCCTTGACCCCTTAAACTGCATTACGTAATACCTGAAAAATTTCAGAGGGGTCCCCGCTCCCTGAGTCCCAAATACTATAGATACCTAAAATGTTTGTTCGGATTCTAGATGATCCACCCTTGAGATCTAAGAAAAATCTCTTTTTGACATTACTAAGAAATTTAACAAGTTCTGTCTATGAAGCTTTCCTCCAGCCCTTGATTTAATCTGCTATTGTTTCGGAATTTTTTCAATATGAAGATTCAGTAGGACTAGAGTCCTCGACTATTTGAAGCTGGAAACTAAAATATCGCGAGTTTACCTCGCTAAGTGCGGCACGAGGTGTGAGTTTGGAATTTTACAGAGTGATCCATAAATCCCGCACCAATGAGCAGGCATCTTTCCTATAACTTTTGACAAATAGAGAGAGACTTGATATTTTGTTGGTGCTCCGAGTTTTAAAAAATAACTTTGGGTAACGCCCAAAATCTGAAAGGGACCATCCTGAAAACAGGCATAAGAACCTAAAGAGTTTCAAGGATAGTGCAGGGATTTTTGATCACCCTGTGCAATGCCGCGTTTTGCTTTGAAGCGACTTTACATGGAGGACAGCTTTCATTTTAGATGTTGATGAAGTTTTCAACAGCTTTAATGAGATAATGTTGGTTACATGCTCCAGTCTGGAAACTTTCGTAATTGTTAAATGGACTGAAGCGCTAAAAGCCTGGTGCACTTTCTACTCTTTTCTTTTAAATGAAACGTTTCTGTTCATTGAACGGTATACATATCTTATAGTAAACATTCCATATCAGGCATGTTTTCAGAAGCCCTGAAAAAGGTTTCATTCGGAAGATATGAATAGTTTTAAATGTTTACGGCAAGAAATTATAAATTTTCTTAAACTTGGAGCGAAGGATTTTCCCAAGCTATGAATTTTGAGAGCAAATTACAACCAACATAACATTGTCACCGAAAATTAGACCCTCCCCCCTCTCCTATGAAACTACCAAACCATGTATCTCGGTTTGCAACGTTGCAGACTTCTTGTCATGCTTTATTTTTAAAATGGGAAACTGCACAATGTTAATTCTTAAAAACTTCCGTGATTTTTGTCTCAGTACGAAACAAATTCTGAGAAAATTTCTTAAACTTAAAAAATTTAAACTTAAGAAGAGAGAAAACAACTGAAAAATACGCATATTTCTAATGCAGATTGTGATATTAGGAGGGACTTTCTTGATGCTTTCATCGTGATTTTTAAGCCATTTTTGGGAAGAAACAACTCTTCTTTTTGCTCGAGCTGAAGATTGTAACAGGCTCATTGCCTAGAAATCACTGAAATCAGCTACCCGGTTATGTACTCTGAGCAGATTTTTACCCACAGCTCCAAGTTTGATAACTGTCTCGCTTTCCGGGCGGGAACTGAAAGGAAAGTTTTTAAATTGCATCTGAAACTGCGTTGTAACGATGATGTCTAAACTTGGGACCATACATTAAAATGGGCGTATTACTGCCAAAAGGAACTATGTGCATTATGCCCTGCTATGCATATATTCTTATGGGTCTCGGGGCTCACATCTTGATGCACATAGTTCTGTTTGGCAAAAATACGTCCAAATGAGCCGTGTCGAGGGTTCAAGTAGTGTGCTTTTGTCGCACTGCGAACCCGGGTTAAAAGAAAACTTTTCGCAACTGTCACATCCAAGCTGGTCACATCATCTCGCAGCGAGATATTTTCTTTTTCGGAGTTTCAAGCTACGAGCACGCGCTATTGTTTTCGGCCCTGGCCAGCCGCTTCGGTGAGACGTCAACTTTTTAATATTTTCTTGCACAATAAAAGGACAAGAAAAGGGTGAAGTTACGGAATCCATCCGCGAGCGCACGCAACTGAACGCATTTTATTTCACTCCTTCTTCCATTTAAAATAATGGATGATGAAAACTCGGGTTCCTTACCTTTCTGGTGGGGAACTTATTTCCCAGGATAAAAGGAGCGACAAAAGGTTTTTTAAGAGACGAAGGAGTTTCAACTCCCTGAAACTACGGGACTAAGACGGCTAGGTGCCGCGGAGTGTCAGAAGGCACTGTGAAAGCGGTTTTCATGGATGTAAGAATAACGGTTATGACCTTTTTGTATGTTTATAGTTTATGTTCTCTCGACACGACTTTACAACTGCTTTCACCATTAAGGGTCGTCCATGAATACCACTTGGCACTTTTTACAACTTAAATACCCCTCCCCCTCCCACCGAGTAGGTAAAACGAGAGTGAGTAATGAAATAATCTGCAGCATTTATAACTGATTCAATATTCAATACATGGAAAAAAAAAATTTTTTTCGTTAACTTTTTAAATGTTTAAAATTTTCCGCCTAAAGGCGTTTTTGATTGTAGCCTGCGCAGGCGGCCGGCCAGCGCGCTAAGCGCATTCGCGCCTACAAACCTAAGTGGATACTTCAAGCATTGCACAATGCTTGAAGTATCCACTTAGGTTTGTAGGCGCCAATGCGCGTTATGCGCCGATAGCACGCCGCTCCGCGTCGGGTTTGGCTTGACCCCTTTTTCTTGGCAACTGCGGGCCAGGCAGCATTCGAGCTTCCTTCTTTCTAAAGCACCGATGTTATTTATTTAGCTTATTATATTGAGCCATTTTATTGTTTCAAAAGCTTTTCCATGTCCTTTCCATTGGAATCGATAATGTTACCTTAATGCGAGTAAATTACGAGTAGACCACTCAATCTGCAGTTTCATGAAGTTTTGAATCGTTATTTCCAATTCTTGTATCTTCAGTAATTTTAGTACTTTGTAGCCCCTAAGATTTAAGTGACCGTGATTATGGGTCCGGAAATGATCAGACGATACTCACATTTATTTTAAAATATATCGATGAAATGGAAAACATTTTTTTTTTTCGGCCTCTAAAAACCTATGAGTTTATCTCTTTCCGCAAAATGATTCAAATTTGAATTACTATCCAGCCTTCAAGATAATTAAAAAACCGCTTTCTACGTTTAGAAAGGCTAAGAGGAGCTCTATATCGGTCAAATTGGTTTCATCACTCAACTAGATCTTATTCATTTTTGAGCTCAATCCAATCTTATACAGCATTTTCAACTGAAATTTGGACGGTTTTCTCGTGAAAATGTGATTCCGTGAATAATGCTTTCCTTCTTCAATGTATGGACAAACATACCTCAAATATGGTATAAAAAATACTGAGTTCAGCAATTAGTTCCTTTCAAATAGGAACAAGTTCGCCATTGAGTGAGCCCATAAAAATAAAAAAACATAAAAATACGTCATAAAAATACGTGCATACTAACTGTGGTCTATCAAAAAATGGACTTGTTTCTTTTTGAGCACAGATAATTTCATTTGAGCCCCTCAGTAATTTTATCAAATGACCTCCCATTTGCATTTTTTAAAAGAGAAAGTGCAGAGATCTACCTGAACTTTGTTCATTAGTAATGGCTCAGTTTTCCAAGGGATAACGTAATCAGCAAAGCTCACATCGATGGCAAAACTAAAGCATAGAGTTTTTGCATGGTGTTTTGATACTCTACTACAATTCATTATTTCATAATAAATAATAAACAACCATTTACAAATGAAATGTTCAGAAAATCCTCTTTACAAGGAAACAAAAATTAACCAAAGATGGAATCATTTATTTCATATATTTATTTTTTTTTTCTTTCATATCAGTGAAATATGGCTTAATTTGTGAAAAAACCAATTTTTTTAACCCAAGAATTTACCATCGATATGAAGCCTCACGAAACTGGAGCCTCATTCAATTGATTTTTTACTATAACTGAATAATTATGAAATTATCGCCATGTTCTTAATGATGATGAAGAGTTCACTTTACGACGCCTGTTTTGAATCAAGCAAAACTACTGAAACGGATGAGCTAATTAAAACAAGGCTTGTGTTCTTTTTGAACTAAGTTTCCTTCAATCAATGAGAATGAGGCTCTAGTTTTTTTTTTCTTTTAAATGGTAACAGAGGGAATTCAAGTAATACGTAACACACGTAAGTTGTTTCATTGGCTACCTACTACTTTATCTAGCACTCATAATGTTACCAAAAATACGATTTCTCGAGTACCTACTGTTAGACGGGTATCTTAATTCCGTTCAATTCCAAAATATTAGTAAAAATTTCCCGAAGTAGAATTTTCCTAAAAAATGCAGATTATTTTGTTTAATTTGCAACGTCATGCTTACTTACAACATCGTCTTTCCTCTAAAGTGCGTCACGTATTACTTGAAACACCTCTTTTTGTGGGGAAAAATACTCATGAATAACAGAACTTCATACACTATAGCTGCTGTAAACTATAAAATAATGTATATTTGTAAATTTACATCGTGACTAGTTCTCACCGCAATTTTTAATTTTCTCCTTACGATTATACATTTCACTTAAATAGAGATGCTAGAGGTTTCTTAAAGTCAATTTTACACACACACGCACACACACAACATGCTGCAAAGCTCGGATTTGCATACCGTCCGACACCAAAACTTTCATAGCTGTGAAATCAAATAATTTTAATTACCACTTTCCGCCTTGTTTTTCTGAGCGTACAAGCCCTCGGTGGTACCGCTTGGGGGCTTTCGGGGGTTGACGGGGGCCGATTTCAGTTGGGGTTCCTCGATTTCAGCAGCCGGTTTCACCTTGGAGTCCTCCTTCACTGGAGCTGGCTTGAGCTTTTCCTCATCGTCGTCCATTTTAACTTGCTCCTTGGCGTCGGTTGGTTCTTCGACTTGCGGTTTCAACTCGGGTTTCTCGGAGTCACCGGCACTCTTGTTGACGGGGTTGTCCACGGGGGGCGCTGGTATACCCTCGAGACTGCAAGAGGGGCCATCGTCGTTGAACGTCCCTGCTGGTTTGTCCTCTTTGTTCTCGGCGTCACCCATGTGGTGGTATTGCTGTAGTTCCTCGTAGTTGTCCGAGGTCTCCGCCCATTTTTCTTGGTCCGATTCGAACGGTTGGAACGGATTTACGTAGCTCGATGACGCTCCACCGGCCTGCACAAGAGATAAATAAGTTACATAAAATAATAAAACAAATTATAGAAGGTGGGCCAATGCGTTGTGATACATAATTTATACAGGCTCATCCAAAAGTCATCTACCACCCCTGTAATTTTTTCCGAATTGACATAGAAATTCGAAACTTTAGGGATATTCTTAGGTCTTAATCAGCAACTTTTTGTTCCCCCTAAAAGTTTTGGAGGAGCTTTTACCGCTTTGTATACCAATTCCAACAATCAGCCTGCTATTCCCATGACTCTTGTTTCAATCGATAATCATTTCATCTTCTATCTGTTTCAGAAATTTTCGGGGCTCCTGTATTTGGCGGATAATATAACTGGTAAGTTGCACACAGTATGTACACGGAAAAAATTAAATTGCTGATTTAACAATTAAATTGCTAAAAAAGTGACTACAACGTTTCAACGTACATTTTACAACAAAAAAATGCTACTTTAACCACCCCTGTGGTTAAATTAGCTTACAATAGTGGTGAAAGTAGCATTTTTTGGTTGTTAAATCTACGTTGAAACGTTGCAGTTAATTTTTTTGCAATTGGAAGTTTAATCAGCAATTTTTTCCGTGTAGTAAAGTTAAGAGCATGCCCTAAGGCCCTCAAGTGCTTTAAGTGCCTCAAGTGCCTTAAGTGCCTCTAGAGCCTTTAGTCTTTTTACGTTTGACCCTAAAATTCTGTAACCAGCCCGAACTAATGTCATAAATGAAATACATTTGATTTTAGAGAGAATGTTCTGAAGTAATACTTCACTCGGCAAAATTTGAATTCGCGCATCGTATTTTAAGCGCTTCATTTACCTTTGGAAAAATGTATCAGCAAGTCAAAATTCTGTCATGGTTTAGTGACCCATTAAGAGGGGCACTAGATCATAAATTTTGTTCCTGAGATGCAATTAGTTCCAATGAAGGAGCCTTTTTAACCGTTCACGTACTGGAAGGAAACTTTCCGATTTATCGAAAGAAACTTTCCTGAGTTTAAACGTTAGTTTTGCGGACTCGTGGTTGAAATCTGTGAGAGATTTCTCCGCAAAAACAAAGCTCTAGTTTCAGCCTTTTGATTGGGTGTTATTTGAAGCCTGCACACGTTTCGAGAACTTTCCGACCACTTAGGACGTGGTGGAAAGTCGTAGGAAGGAAAGAATGAGGGATTAATTTCTGTTTTTTTCTAGGTTATTGCGCGTCGAATACGCTCAAATAAAGCTGTAAGGAAACCGGAGACAAAATATTCCAATCAAGTGCTAACGAAGTGAGCTATCGAACACATAAATAGAGGGAATTTTGACTATGAGAACCATAGTTATGGCTACTATACTGTCGTGTGAAGGAAAAACGTCGTATAAATGGATTACATTTTGCAATAAGGAACCACTATTTCTGGCCCCTTTTTGAGACACCATACATGCCATTGGTTTCCCTATGCGTATATGTGCCTTTTATGAGAGAGCCAGAGAGAGTGGTTCCTTTTTGCAAAATGTAATTCAAATATTCGAGAGTTGCCAATTTCCCCGGATGAAACATATATTTTTGTGGAAAGTTAGGTATATTTCTCCTTGAATTTTCAGACATTCTAGATTAAACTCTGAATAAAATTTCTGAAAAATCTTAAGAAATATATTAGAAATTTCCCAGAAAATTCGTGTTTTGCTGCAACGTCGTAAAGCTCATACGGTGCTCTTCCTTAGAAAGACAGTATACATTAATGTGTCATAACCATTATAATTTTGATATGATTACTGTATTCATACTTTCGTCACCATGAAGTAGTGAATTTGTATCTCTATGGTAAGAACAACACCATAATTATTGGTCTTAATTACCAGCAATTACCGACATGTATAGACGCTACTGTCCCCATACATACACTCTAAGCAGGGTGAGATGCGGAGCCTTCAGTCATAAACCTCACAATCAGAAATAGCTCAAGTGGAGTCCGTCAAAAGTCTCTGTCAAAGAGACACGTATATAAATTCAGCGAAATTTCGGAGACGAAAAGCTGGACTGAAAACCACATCCGCGTCGAAGCTTGAATCGGAAAAAATCATCCTGTGGCGGAAAAATCGAGTTCCAATTGGAGTTGACTCAAGTCAAAATCAATTGTCGGAACTTACTCACCGGCGTTTTATCTTAAATCAGTCGTCTTTGATCCAGCATCTGTGCCGTTAGTTGAATTTCAATTTTCGGACTCTAAATCACGCTGGAATTGCATCGATTTACGATTTACTACGACTTGGCGCCGACTAACATCTTATCCTTTCCATTTACGACGTAATCTTTCATCGACTCAATTTTCCCAAAAACAAAGGGATTTACGAAACGGAAGGGGTGGGAAGGAGGAGGAGGGTCAGCTATATTTACGTCCAATAAATGATTATCAATGAAGAGTATATCAAATGAGGGATCTGCGGCAAATGGGTGTGACACACTGATTCTTAGCATACGGAGAAATAAGTGCGGTTCATACAGAACAGTTGAGTTTTTCGGCTCAAATTATTGAGAGAAGCCTCTTTTTTTTGTCAAATTGTCGCACCACTTATCCGAGAGACTCTTAAAAAATCATTTAGATTATTATAAGTCAATCAACTTTATTTCAATTATACATAAAAAATGATATTATTCATTTCAAGACGGCCATAAGTGCGATCTTCTGCATGCATTTTTGGTTGCGTTCCAGACACAAAACAAACACATTTACAAGTTAGAAATGTCAGGAAAGGGAGGAATTTCACGTAAAAGCTCTGTTTTCATTGGCTCTCAGGAGGAATAATGCCAGTTACGGCTGTCTTGTCTAAAACTACGTAATTGTTTGCGCACTTACGACCATATCATAAGTCTCCTTTTCATGCAATTCAGACGAAATTTCTTATTTTAGCTATTTCGGTGATTTAACCTAGAGGAGATTAGACAAATTTTGAAGGAAAACTCGATTTCGAAAATTTGAAAGTTACGGTTCTCTTCTGTTTTAATTGGCTCTCTGGAGAAATAATGTCACATACGGCTGTTCTGCTTGAAATTACATCATTCTACGCAAACTTACGACTTTAAAAGGCCTATGAGAATTTTCATATGTCTCTACATAGAGATAAGACGGATTTTGCTATTCTAGCTACTTCAGCGATTTCATCTAAAAGAGATTTGACAAAGAGGTTCCATCTACCATTGAAACTGGGCCCCGAATGAAATCTCCTCATCTTTTCAGGTATCAAAGGGCATGGTCAGGGACACCCAAAAATGGTTGAATTTTTTCCAAATTCCCCCCTGGGGAGGGGGGGCGGGGGGTTATATGAAAAACGGTTTTTTGGCTATAACTTTTGAACGGTTTGAGATATCGATTTGAACTTTTTTTTAAATGAAAGGTCGTTTAAAGAGCTTTCTTTTGGTATATTATGTTTAATAGTTAGGTCAAGTTTTGACCAATTTATGGCCTGTCAAAAATTTTCCATGAGTCCAAAAATCAGATTTCTGTAGTTTAGAGCAGCGACGATCGCATGCAGATGAACAAAAAACTGTTCAACTTATAGCCCTCTCTCTGACGGTTAAAATGAGCCCAAGATCATCTTGGGGAAACGATTTGTCTCCGAGTTATGCTTCTTCAAAGTTGGCGCGGCGGGGTCCGCTTCCGCGGGGCAGCGCTCCGGAGTACGATAGTTCACTCCCACCCCCCTCCCGTCATGCCACGCGACGCAAACCGAGGAAGACTACCTTTAATGATCATTTGAACAGATAAATGCACACAATATACGCTATTATGGTGTACAAGTATTATTAAAATTATATTGAAAACGCTCTATAAAACGAGAAGCAATATACCTGGATCCGGCAATTTGTTTGACGACTATCGCATAGTGTCCGCGATACATAATTTATATTTTCAACGCCTGCAAAGTGATGGTGACGACGCAAAAATTGCCATTCAAATGCTCCAAAAATTAAATGAGCCGAATATTGTGCAACAAATTGTTGAGGACGAGAAATGGCTCCGAAAAAAAGTAGTTTTTGAAAACCTGACGACAGATCATTTTGAACAATTAGAACAGTGGAGGAGCGAAGATCTTGACACCCTCTCGGGAAGTTATCAAATTGGACTTGCAGCAAGTCATATTGCAGACCATTTTGCTGATGGAAAATATTGCTTTCAAGTGACGAAGGATAACTTTTTGCCAGATTTTCAAAAATATGATATTTCCGTAAATTCGCCTCTTTTTCTTCGATCGCGGATCCTATCGAGGCATAAATCAAAAAAAGAATATCATATATTTATATTAATCGACACCAGTCAAAAATCCAGCGAGGCCATTAAAGCAAGTTACTGCACATGTAAGAACGGTGCGCGTACCATCAATCCTTGTGCTCGTATTTGTTTTACGGGCGCTATCACAAAAAACCAGCGCCTTCAGCCTTTTTGAACGAGTGCTTCCCTCTCAGAAAAGTCGATTTTGGCTTTTCAGACGACGAAGATGAGGATGAAAATGCGGATCACACTGCCGATGATCCTATGGATTGCGGTGATGATAAATTCGGTGAGATTCCACTCTTCTATTTAGTATATTAATATAATTTTAATAATACTTGTACACCATAATAGCGTATATTGTGTGCATTTATCTGTTCAAATGATCATTAAAGGTAGTCTTCCTCGGTTTGCGTCGCGTGGCATGACGGGAGGGGGGTGGGAGTGAACTATCGTACTCCGGAGCGCTGCCCCGCGGAAGCGGACCCCGCCGCGCCAACTTTGAAGAAGCATAACTCGGAGACAAATCGTTTCCCCAAGATGATCTTGGGCTCATTTTAACCGTCAGAGAGAGGGCTATAAGTTGAACAGTTTTTTGTTCATCTGCATGCGATCGTCGCTGCTCTAAACTACAGAAATCTGATTTTTGGACTCATGGAAAATTTTTGACAGGCCATAAATTGGTCAAAACTTGACCTAACTATTAAACATAATATACCAAAAGAAAGCTCTTTAAACGACCTTTCATTTAAAAAAAAGTTCAAATCGATATCTCAAACCGTTCAAAAGTTATAGCCAAAAAACCGTTTTTCATATAACCCCCCGCCCCCCCTCCCCAGGGGGGAATTTGGAAAAAATTCAACCATTTTTGGGTGTCCCTGACCATGCCCTTTGATACCTGAAAAGATGAGGAGATTTCATTCGGGGCCCAGTTTCAATGGTAGATGGAACAACCTCTTTTGAAGGAAACTCGATTCCAAAACTATGAAAGTTACAGTTCTCTTCTGTTTTAATTGGCTCTCCGGAGAAAGAATGTCGCATACAGCTGTTTTTCTTGAAACTACGTTATTCTCTTCGCATACTCACGGCTTTAAAAGGCCTATGAGAATTCTCAGATCTCTCTACATAGAGATAAGACGTTTGCTATTTTAAATACTTCAGTGATTTCACCTGAAAGAGTTCATGCAGACGAATTTTGAAGGAAACTCGATTTGGAAAATTTGACAGTTACGGCTCTCTCCGCTATCACGGCAGAATATGCATGTTTGTTTTAAGTTTGACTCTCGGCTCGGATTCATGAATGCTCGCACGGGCTCACCTCCAATCTCGATTCAAATCTGCGGGTGCAGCAGCTATATTGAAGGGTGTTGAGGGAAAACCGAGACCGGAACGTGAACGTAGTGTTCTGCCGTGCTAAAGGAAAAACGCCGTATGAACCTTCAGGCGTTGCCAAATTTGCTTTAATAAAACGTGAATTTCCTGGTAAATTTATGAATATACCCCATCTAATTTTTAAGATAATTTTGTTCGCAACTCCACCGAAAAGTCCTGAAAATCTCAAGGATAAATATTCATAACTTTTCTCGAAAATAAACATTTTGTCGAAGGAAATTTGGCAACCCTCGGATGTTCGTGCGGCGTTCTTCCTTAGCACGGAAGTATTGGAGAACTTGGTGCCGGGAGAAAGTTTGCTCCTCGCAGATATAAAACACACGGGCAACTTCGCGACCGGGGCTTTCGATTCCCCGTCGGATCGCTTTATCTAAACACAGCTGCTCTGAAAGCAGGGCGGAGGGAAAACAGGAAACGCAAAATTGCTTTTCTCCGTCGCTCTTCGATTCTTTTCTTTTTGATGTAAAATCGGGTTGTCTGACTGTACAGTTTGGAAGGGAGGGGGAGGTTTCTTTTGGTCCAGGGATCAAACTGAGAGCTACTCTATCCTGAAGAACTTTCGCGGAAAAGTACCTGAGAATTTGTGACTAAAATTTCCTTTCCGAGCGGGCTGATGGTTCGAATTGGTAAGCAAAGCTATAGACAAAGAAGACAAAGCTATAGACAAAGGGAATTGGGAGGGATCCTATTGGTGGAAGCGGGTGGTTTGGACGAAAAGATAAGTAATAGACTAAATAAAATTGCTTTTCCCAGTCCCTCTGCGATTAATTTCTTTTTGATGTAAAAATCCGTAAATTTGGGGGAGGGGGGGGGTTGAAGTCTATCTTTGTCCAGGGATCAAACTGGGAGCTACTCCATCCCGAGGAACTTTCGCGGAAAAGTACCTGAGAATTTTTGACTAAAATTTACTTTCCGAAATTGGTAGACAAAGCCAGGGGCAAAGAGGACCAAGGGATTTGGAGGGATGCTATTGGTGGAAGCTTTTGGTTGCAATGCTACCGTGCTAAGCAAGAACACCGTAAATCCATCAAGATTTTAACATGTTATAAAATAAAATAAAAAATTACCTATGCACTTCAAAATTTTAGGTTAATTTCTTGCAAGTATTTATGCGAACTGTAAAAACACTATCCCAAGGTATCCAAGTTTTTCTGCTATGATACATTGTTTCCAAAAAAATGTGAAATGGCGTTTACGGCGTTCTTGCGTTGCACGGCAGAATGGACGAAGAAGATAAGTAATAGACTGAATAACGGCAACCAGTACGAGACCCGACAGTTAGTCCATCCTCTTAGTCTGTAAGAACCACCAGTTGCATCGAATAAAATTGCTCTGTACTCTCTATGTCTCTTTTGTCCATAGCTTTGTCTATAAATTTCAACAATTAACCTGCTGTTCAAGAAACGACTAAATGTTCAATAGAAATGAAATGGTCAGGCGATGGGAAAGCAACTATTCGAACATCAAAGCAGTCAAATTGCCTATATGCACAATTGAAGGCGTTTCATTGGAGTAAGTGGGGACCTTCCTGGTACTTTCCTAGGAATTCCCTCCTCATTCCTTGCACTTAATTTTTTTTAAAAAACTTCGATCGCAAGATACGTAACGCCTCCAGATATGGCCTTTTAGTGGTAATTAAGAACCAAAGTCATCGTTTAAAAATTAGAGAACAGGTGTGAACTGACCTAGAAGTTATCAACAGCTGAAAGCTAAGAACGTCTTGGAAATTGGGCAAGGTGATTTCGATAAAAAAACTCGCGTAAGAAAAATAGAAATTGAAGAGGTCATAAAGCTTGTAAAAGCAAAGCAAGTAAAGCTTGCTTTGCTAAACAAGCTTGTAAAGCAAGTTTCAAGGAAGAAGAGGCTTAACTCCACAGAACCTTAATTTTAAGTAGAGCAATTCGCTTTGAGCAGACAAATCGGATCTTATTATATTTGTGAATAACTTTCTTCTCTGGTGTTGTATAAGGTGTGAGCCGTTTGGTGCACTTCTGTGCCAATCAAGGGCGCAAATTTGCATTATATTCCGTCAATTCCCTGTTACAACACATCATTTTGAAATATAGAATTGCAAGCTTGTCTCATAGGTTCAAAAAATGAACCAAGTACTTGGCGTAAATTTCGTCGTTTTCCTCACGAAATAACGTAACTCCATTTCAATGTTGCTAAATCTCTCCTCACAAATTGCACATTAACCAAGAAAATCTTGGGCATTGCTAACCGAAAATTTATCTATGATTTTTCCTCAGATTTAGTGCAAAAATCAGAGAAATTTTGGATAGACATTGCAAAGGAACATTTTAGTGAAATAAATTAATTGTTTAAGTCAATTTGGCAACATTGGAATGTATTTACGTTCCTTCGCCCGAGAGACGACGATTTGGACCACATTTTGCAATTTGGAACTATAAATTCTAGCCCGGTTTAAAAACAACGTATGTGCCATTAGTTTCCCTATGCACAAAAGTGTTTTTTCAGATGAGCCAGAATTTATAGTTCCAAATTGCAAAATGCAGTCCATTTGACGTACTGGTAAGTCCACCTGAAAAGAAGTCAATAGCATGCGAGTAATGTCACAACTCGTCAATGTGTCGTGAGAGAAGGTTGGGGTAGGTATCGGTGAATGTCGAAGCACTCAAAAAGATGTACGAATCAGAAAAATGGTATTTACTCACCACGCAAAGGCAAACGAATGCGCCAAGCAACACGCACGAATTCCGTAACATTTTGCAATCGAAAGAGTTGGGAACTCTCGGTCTGGGCCGTATTTATACGCTCGCGAGTGGCTTTAAAAAATGTGAAAAAATTCTCTGACGTGGAAACATGTGTTTTTGCCTTTGCTCCTGGCTCCCACTCCGAAAAAGAGCGGTTGAATCCATGTGCGTAGTTTCTGGATAATTCCTAAGCCACATCTCAAACGTCACTCAAAAAGCAAAACATCGGAGGATATACATTCGGTGTTGTAAACAGGGGTGGACTGGTAGTCGAAAATGTAGGAGGCGACCTAGTTTTGGAGGCCCCTCTAAGGAGGTCTGGGGGTCCTCCTCCGGAATATTTCGAAAATTTCACACTTTTGAAACGCAATTTTATGCATTATTGGAGTCAAATTTTACAGTATTTGAATTTCAAAATAACCCATTCTCAGGATTTTTCGGGGGCCTCTTCATCACATAAGCATTAGGCGACCTTTGATGTCTTTTTCAAGGAGTTTTGGGCCTTTTTGTGACTAAAAAGGATAGGAAAACTACAACATTACGGGGGAAAGAACGATGACTTGAAAAAAATTCGCCGCGGGGGCCCCTTCGGGATCTCTGCGGCAAATTGTTAGGAGGCAATAACCTCCCTGCCCCTATGGCCAGTCCGCCCCTGGTTGTAAACCTTCATTTTGTCAGTACCAAACATGGACGTATTTCTGCCAAACGGAACTATGTGCATTATGACGTAAGTCCTGTTATGGATATATTCTTACGGGTCTCAGGGATCATGTCTTAATACACATAGATCTGTTCGGCAGAAATATATCCACATGGGAATACTACCATACGGTCGTGTTTCTGTCAAACGGAACTATGTGCATTATAACGTGAGCCCTGTTATGCGTCTATTCTTAAGGGTCTCAGGGCTCATGTCTCCATTCACATAATTCCGTCCATATATCAACGGCGAAACTCCCAAACCACGTATCCCGTATGCGGTGCTTAAAAATCTCCGCCCCTATAATATTTTTTTGAAGGAGAACAAAGAACATCAATACCATTCTAGTACATTTTTTCAGAATTCGCACCGCACAGGGAAAAAAACCTTAAGGAGGTTCTCCAGAATCGATGTTGAATAATGTTTCATCTAAAAACTGAAGTACGAGGGGAAGTCTGCGACGTCGCAAACCAAGATACGTGCTTTTTTTTAAGAACAGATTAAAATACGTAGTTTTAGGAGTTCACCATCGATATGTAGACTCTCGGAGTCACAAAATTTCCGGTTCTAGAGTTGTACCAAAATTGTCAAATACCAATATTTTTTGCGGCATTTCAGGCTTTAAGTTTTTGAAAAATGACATAAGTTTTTTTATACTAAGCGATATAATTGTAAATTTTCTATTTTAATTCAAGTTAAACCTTCTTTTCCCGTAACATTTTCTTTTTGAAATCGATTGGTGCAATTCTCATAACTTTTGCGGCTGTAGGTAATAAACTATTGATGAATTAATTTGCTTTAAATTTGACACATTTGACCCTTGAAGTGGTCCTTTGAGGGCACGGAGTGTTATTTGGGGTTAGGTCGCATAGCGGCCAGTAGTAGTATACTTCCTGATATAGATTTGCGAGAGAGGATGCTAATTTCAAAACAGAAAGCTATTTTCAATTAATAATACCAGAGCTCGAAAAATACGTTTTTCCTCGGGAAATCCTAGAACAAGAAAAGAATCTTGATCGTTATTTCTTGTCCTCAGAGATAATGAAGCGTGCTATTTCTCCTTTTAATATAACTTTTAAAATATCTCAGAGCCAATTAGGTATCAAAACTTGTTGTAAGTCCGATTTGAGTTTCTTAAGTCAGGAACGTTTTGACCTTCTCTCCTCGAAACTTCTACTCTGCCTTCAGACATTGCCAAGTTTTCTTCTATAAAGACCAAGTGTAACAAACAAACTGAGAATCCCCCCCACCCAAAAAAAAAATGGTTTAGAAAATTTCGTAAAGAATTTTATCTAAAATATCTGAAAATTTCAAGAAAAAATATGCATCATACCACGCTTTTCAAATTCCTGGAAAGTTGACTATCACTCAAGCCTTGTAGATCGTTTCCTAGTAAATCGTGTTTTATTCTTCAAAATTGGAATGATTACGAACGGTATGGGATTTCCGCTAAGACTTCAAGGTAACACAGCCGCTAATGGATTCCAATGATGGAATGGATCTCAATTTTTTCCAACAGATTCCCAAGACGCAAATTGCTTCCTGGAATTCTTTTCAGCATACACTATATTTTCCTTTTTCTTCTCTTTTTTCGTGATCCGGTCTAAATTGTTATCAAACAATCATATTCATCCATATTGTTCACGGTTCCAAAGGCGCATCTCCTACATCACTCCTCGTAAATTCATACATTCTCTTTTAAGGAGAAACGGGTCTAATTGACGATGTTTCTGTCAATGAATGGAACTCAATTCATACCATTACCGGAATACAACTATTCTTCCTCGCAAGATGGCCTTGTTGCATATCCGCTTGATTGAAGGCATTTCGGTTTTTTTACCCTCAATGTTCCTTCTCAACTTTTCCGCGGACACGTTTAACTTAGTATCTGGAAATCAAGTCATGAGCAGTAGCCTCATTGTTAAATTTTTGGAATTGTCGATCTTTTAAGACAAGATTAAGGAGAATCTAGTTCTATGATTGGTCAGTTGAATCGTTCGTCTCCTTTTGCTCGCCGATGAATGACGTAATCATTGAGAAGCTAAAAGCAAGTCTTTGAGTTGCCGATACTATGTCGTCAAATCCTGGTTTAAATCCATCCTTTTTCGGTGCGAAATGGAGTGCGGAGGATAAAGCTGACCGTTCACAAAACTCAATTCCTCTTAATCTTGTCTTAACCGGACCACAAAGACACAAATTTTGTACGATTTTGATTAAAAATAAAATCTTATTGACGACATACTCAAGAATATCTCTGCCGTCACTTTTTTTAATGAAATTCAAAAATTATGCCAAACGTTATTACACATGGATGCTAGAACTTAGTGAGTTTTTCGACTACCGCTCTCTTTTTGTGCCGTAATATCTTAATTTATTTGGCAAGGAAAGCTCCGTATTTTAAAATATTCCTGTCATTCGTAATATATTGGAGCGCCTTCAATTTCGTATCATACTATGCAACACCTGTGTTTTGAAGTAGTTGCTTGTGGCGCGACCGACGGCTGGTTACAGCGGAACACGCACAGGCGCTTACAAACCTAGCAGGGATACTTCACGCATTGCGCAATGCGTGAAGTATCCCTGTTAGGTTTGTAGGCGCCAGCGCGTGTTTTGCACTGACAGCTCGCTGCCCCTCTGCTCCGTGTGTGTAAGGCTCTAATTTATAAACTCATTGAGTCGGCGTTTTTCAACCCATGCTTTTGAAATGTTTGCTAACTCTGCATGGATTATTCTCATTTAAATTTATTTAAAAAAAAAAAAAATGTATTGAGGGAAATTATAATGAGTGTTTTGTAAATATTAAGGTGATTCCATTTTGAGTTCAATAATTTCTGAAATACTTTAATATTTCCTTTCATATTTTGTGATTTAACTGCGCTGCAGCGTGGTGTACGCGCAACCAAACGCTCAAAATTGGACTTATTTGACTCCAAAGATCAATGTAGAAATGGGTTAAAACCAAAGTGAGCGTCACAATGAACATAGTTCCGATTGATAGAAATACGTCCAATGATCATTCTGCCGTGCCGTGTCGTGAGTTACGCCAAGGTATCGTTTTAGAAGTGAAAAGCTTCAAGAAATGCATATTTCTTAGACGGATTGCGAAGTTAGGAGTATATTTCAGACCTTGATGCGTCAATTGTCATTTTGGACCGCGGTAATCAGAAAGGAACCAAGCCACATCAGCTACCGCCTTCCATTGGACTATATTTGATTTTTTACGTGAAAACGGTTATGCGGATTTTTATGCAAATGTCAGTGAATTTTCTACGTAACAGGATGCAAATTCCTGAACATTTTCAAAAGAACCCGCACAAACGTTCTCATGTAAAACATTAAATAGCCCGGTTAAAATCGGCTGTAGCTGATGTGGCTTGGTTCCTTTCTGCCAAACGCAGTCCAATTTTGAGCATTTCACTACAAGAAACAACTCTCTTTTTTGCCCTGGCAGAAGTTTTCAACAGGCTCATTGCCTGAAAAGTTGGAAGAAAAATATTTTTCAACTTTCCTAATTGATTCGTATTTTATCGAAGGAAATTTTGCAACGCTTGGAGCTTCCTGCGACATGTTCCCTCATCATGGCAATATACTGCCGTGCTGAGGAAGAACACCGTATGAGCCTTTAGACTTTGCCAAGTTTCCTCCGGTAAAAACCGAATTTACTGGGAAAATATCGAATATTATTTTCCATAACTTTCAGACAATTTTGTACGCAATTTAATCTAAAATATCTGATAATTGCAAGGAAAATGATGCATGAAAATTGTCAAAAATACATGTATTATCAAGGGAATTTTGGCAACTCTGGAATATTCATGCGGCGTTCTTCCTTAGCACGGCAGTATAGGTATATTTAGCTTTTCGCAGACCTGCAGCCACACGCAAGTGCGTGTTTTTTGCACTGCAATTTTTTCTCACCCGTTCGCGCGTTTGTAAAGCACGTACGATGCAAACTTCCAAGAAGACCTTGAACTTTTAGCGTGTATCCTCGTGAGGGGAGAAGGTTGAGAAGCAAGAATAGGCGTCACGCACGTTCGCACAGCACGATATCATACGGTATTAACAGCGATAAACTGAATGGCAAACTTTGAGGGCAATACGGAGTGAAGTGTTCGTCTCGCCGGAAAAGATGTGAGTGCAATGCTGCCTTGCTAAGGAAAAACGCCGGATGAACTTTCAAGCTTTGCCAAATCACGATTAATAAAACACAAATTTCCCGGTAAACTTTTCACATTTTTTCCCCCAATATTTGAACGTATTTATGCTAAAGGGAATGGAGATGTTGCATGTGTGAGGAATTTGCGATTTGACTGTTAATTCTTATGTAAAAGTTCGCGAGAAACACGATGGTGCCACTGGTTGTCTTTTAAATCATCTCCCAAGCTCAAAAAAAGCTCTCAAGTTGAGGTCAAAATGGAGGGGATACCCCACGCTATCCTGAGAATCCACCTCTACATCCAAGACAAACTATACACGCAAAGATAGGGAACAAATACATTAGCAGGGTTGCCGTGTTTTCAGTTTTAGAGTCCCCAAATAAAGTGGCAGCCCTGTCAATGTATTTGCTCCCTATCTGTGCATGGAGAGTTTGTCTTGATGTAGATGTGGACTTTCAGGATAGCGTGGGATATCCCCGACCATTTTGGCCTCAACTTGAGAGCTTATTTTGAGCTCGGGAGTTGATTTCAGAAAAAAACCAGTAGCACCACCGTGTTTCTCGCGAGCTTTTACATATGAATCAACAGTCAAATCGCAAATTCCTTGCACATATGCAACATCTCCATTACGTGCAAGCGGCAAGATAGGGTGTGCTTGTTTGAGCTACGTAAGAAGCAATGTAAAAGCGGATATAGTTCCTTTTGAGAAAATAAAAAAGCGGGATTTGACATCAAATCAAAAGGAACTGAGCGCTAACTCGTGGGCCGCGGTCATATGACAAGAGCGTTGTGGACAGGGCTCATGAGCTAAAAGCCCTAGAACGAGGGCCCTAGCTCGTCACCGGTTTGCGTCTCGATCGTCGCCGCTGACGTCACTGGCGCTTTAAATCCCCATTCATTCTTATGGCCCGACCACTAACGAGCACACCCCATCTTTCCACTTGTATGTACATAGTTCCATTTAGCATAAATACATCCATTTCAGATAATGCTATTTGCAATTTCACCTAAAGTTCCAGAAAATTTAAAGGATCAACATTCATATTATTTGTCAAAAATTAACATTTTAAAAAAGAAATTTAGCAACTCTCGAATATTGATGCGGCGTTCTTCCTCCGCACGGCAGGATGTACCGCTGGAAAAGCCGCTACAATATGGTGCAATAATGCCGGTGTCGTAACGTTGCCGTAGCGCAGCCCGGTAAACAAGCAACTCAATTGAACAGTTTCAAAATCCTATCTGTTTTATTTGTTTAGAGTTTCATTTACACAAAAAAATGTTGCCCGTATTTTCAGCAATACACAAGTGAAAATATCATTAACCACACGGAAAAAAGAGGCAGGGGGTAAGTCCTAACTTGGAAATTTCCTATTGTTTGTGGTCGTGCCTCAATAAATTAGGTTACCAATCTAAATGCTGCGGTACCACCAAACTAATATCCACTTCATCCAAAAAATTGGTGCTGTATTAGAATTTAAGGGGATAACCCGTAATTTTTTTTTTTTTTTGAAACCCTTGAAAGATTCTTTTGTTGCATATCCGCTTAATTGAAGGCATTTCGGTTTTTTGTTGCCCTCGCGATGGTTTCTCAACATGTCCACGGAGGACTTAGAAATTCATGGTTTCTTCTACCTCTGTTTTATCAATCAGTAAGATCAATCTTACTCAGTAAGACTTACTGATCATCAATCAGTATGCATAACCGTGGTGTATGACGTCATGAACCGAGTTTTTTCAAATCGAGATTTCTCGGTTAATATCACACGTATAGAGGGTTGCTCTTCGGCCAGATCGCATTATTTGTAGTGATCTACAAGAATCAATAATCAAAATACGGTTCGTTGACCAGCGCAGCTGATACATTTTATAAAAATCACTTGACATCATTTTGAACGACCAACTCTTCAGAAATCGGTTGACCCTCAACCGATTGTATGGCTCAAACTGCATCAGCAAGTAGGAATGAACTCTTATGTAGGAGTTTTTATTGACTGGATTTGCTCAGAATCAGTGTAACTACATTTCAAGCTGTTTTATTTTCTCGTATGTTCCTTTTTGTAACCGATAGCTAAATTATGTAAAACTATTAAACATTTTGTGAATTTACCATAGATTATGAAAAATTTACTCACAATTATTTAAGTTTCTCGGTTTTTCTCAGATTTCCATTCATAAAATGAAGCGGCAGAAAAAATTAGCAACGTATGATGTCGTTAAACTGATTCCGGATAAATCTGTCCACTCAAATTCAGGTAAATTTGACTTCATTTTGCAACGAGGAACTACAATTTTTGGCTCAGCTAAAAATAACGGATTTACCATTAGTTTCCCTCTATCCATATGTGTTTTCACGGGTGAGGCAGAAATTGTAGTTCCTAGTTGTAAAATGTAGTTCAATTGATGGGCTTGGCAACAAGGCGCATGAGTGCAATTTTTGATATTTTGAGAAATAATTGTTTGAATTTTCGAAATTACACGGATCCTCATGGCGGAAAAAAAAATTTCAAACTGACTTTTTGATGCTTGAATATTAGAATTTCAGAGCGAGTATTTCACAGAATATGCATTAAAACTAGTTTCCATTGAGATCATTAGTATCTCGATTTTTTTTTTCAAAAGCAGCACTTGTGTGCCTTGTCCTCGAAGCCCCTAAATTGGAATTGTAAGTTTGCGATTAGCACTATGTCTTACACCATTGTAAAATCGAAACAGTTAGGTTTTAATTTCAAAGTTAGGTAGCTCAAAATTGTGGATCAAAATTTTGTCGACGAGTCTAATCGGTCGTCGTGACTAATTTCTATTTATTCAAAATCAGACTTAAACATTTTTTCGAGGACGTGGCCGTCTCTGTCTGCTTAACTTATCCCATGTGATCCCAACCTATTCCATGTGATCCCCTGGAATATCACAAGGTGCAGTTGTTCAGTCGTAGTCTTTGCGTTACTGGCAGTTTTTCGAATGCTAGTATCCTGCCGACGGTGCATTTTGGTATCGTGAACCGCGCCCTAGTCCCAAGGGACCCCTTCCTCCGAGACCGTAAGGGCCCGGATTAGGGCTAGGAGGTTTTGGCTTGGATGCCTCTACCGTGGGTTTCGACTCAGGACCGTCGTCAAATAAACTATCTATATCGTCATCGGGGTTCTGTTCAGGATTATTTCTAAAGTCGTCGTCAGAGGGATTCCACTCAGGTTGGTCGGTGGAGTTGTTGAACTCGTAAGATGGGTTCCACTCAGGTTGGTCGGTGGAGTTGTTGAACTCGTAAGATGGGTTCCACTCAGGTTGGTCGGTGGAGTTGTTGAAGTCGTAAGATGGGTTCCACTCGGGTTGGTCGGTGGAGTTGTTGAAGTCGTAAGATGGGTTCCACTCGGGTTGGTCGGTGGAGTTGTTGAAGTCGTAAGAAGGAGGCCAGTCATCAGATGAATCGGTGCTATTAGTGTCGTTGTCAAATGCAGGGTTCCATTCAGGTTCCGGCACGGTTCCTTCATCGCACGGTCCAAAGTCGCAGTCGGTCGAATTATTCCATGATGGGTTCCATTCTGGCTGCGTTTCGTTCTTCGGTGGTGCTGGCACTGCGTCGGTTGAATTCGATGGTTGAGGCTGGGGGTTGTACGGGTTGTAAGGGTTGTATGGGCTGTAAGGGCTGTTGGAAGTGTTGGGCCGCTGGTACTGGCTTGGCACGGAACCGGGTGCGTAATATGCTTGCACCTGCGCAAAGAAAAATTGATTAAATCGCCAGTTAAATGACTCGTATACCTAGAATGGACCACTAGACAAGGTACGAATTCCAGCATTCTGATACATGTTTCGTAACTAAAATTTTACGTAGAACACGATGCGCACAACAAAAATTACCACGATTAATTGCTTACGAAGATATTTAATGATTCTTGATGCATGAATGCAAACCACCCGCTCATGAAAACTCAATGCTCTACGTGATTCACATCGCGCGCTAAACGTTATCATGACGGTCTCTGCGATATAAAAATCTGGCAACCTCCATCTTGACGCTTTGGCTCAGCTGTAGCAAATTTCTCATAGTTTGAACAACACATGGTGGGAAATGAACATTGCTCGATTGAGAAGCTCGCTGCACGGAGAGAAAAAACTCGTGCGTGGGACCCGAAGTTTAGGTCATATGGATCTCTGAAGTTTTCAGATTGAGCATCTGAACACTTTAGGTCTAGCTGCCGAGGTTCGGATCACACATCTGAAACTTCAGTTCGCTCGGTTCTCACATCCGAAGTACTTCGGTTCTCACATCCGAAGTACTTCGGTTCTCACATCCGAAGTACTTCGGTTCTCACATTTGAAGTACTTCCGATGTAAGAACTGAAGTTTCAGATGTATGATCCGAACCCCGGCAGCCAGACCTAAAGTGTTCAGATGCTCAATCTGAAAACTTCAGAGATCCATATGACCTAAACTTCGGGTCCCACGCACGAGTTTTTTTTCTCCGTGTGAAACCGTTGTAGTGCGCGATTTGACTCACGTAGAGCTTTGAGTTTCTTGTGAGCGGGCACTTCAAATTCCTCGTAACCAATGTGAAATAAAAACGTTAATATCTTCGTTAGAAGTTGGTTTCAGTAATTTTCGTTACTCAAATCGTGTTTTACGTGAAATTTTGGTTAAGAAACATGTATCAGATTGCTTAAATTCGTACCTTGTCTAGTGGTCCATTGAATGAACTGCGTTAAGCAGGAAGGAACCAAGCTGCACAAGCTATTGTAAAATCTAATTGAGAAATTTCATAATTTTTTGAATAAAAACGGATGCGCGGATTTTTGTGCGAATTTCAGTGAATTTTTTGCATAGTACGAAGTAAATCCCTTAAAATTTTCAAGAGAATCAACACAAACGTTCTCTTGTAAAAAATAAAATTGCGCTGTTAAATTCAGTAATAGCTGATACGGCATGGTTCCGTTTCCCAAAGAGAAATTGATTAAACCGTTAGTTAAATTACGCGTATACCTAGAACTGAATTGACTTAGACAAGCAGAGAGGAACCAAGCCATATCAGCTTTTGCCATATCTAATTTAGAAATTTAATTTTTTAGATGAAAACGAATGTGCGGATTTTTGTGCAAATTTCGGTGAATTATCTTCATAGTGCGAAGCAATCCCCTTAAAATTTTCAAAGGTATCCGCACAAGCGATCTCTTGAAAAAAATGAAAATGTTGAATCAAGTCAATCATGAAATCAAGTTGATTCCATATAGCATGCAACTCTGCTCACATAATGCCTTTTGATTTAATGTGTTTCCGAATAGTTCTTTTAGCATAAATATTCATCCAATTTTAAGAAAAACTTACGCCCTTTGATTCGGATTTGGTTAAAGAGGGCAATCGAATTGAAATCACGCTATTATACAATTAGAGTATGCATTAAGGAATTTAGCTGACTCTTGAAATTACACTGAGATTGATGTCTACTTGTGTTTGTCTAACCATGTTCCTTGCCCAAGTTTTTTTAAGTGTAAATTATTTTATTTGTTTCAGGTATGTATGACAAAACATTATGTCACGTGTGGTAGGAATTTTTCTTAAAATAATGTGAGCAACAAATCTGTATGTTCAATAGTAACCCCATGTGTTTTTGTAGTTTCGTCATCGTAAATTTGGAAGTTATTTGCATAAACAATGCATATTTAGATCGTTCAGGACTAATTTCTTCAATGGCATGCTGATTTCCGATGAAAATAACGGAATGACTTCTCTAACTTCGGATAAGTGCAAGAAACCCTGCATAAGTTAGGTAATGTCAGCATGAAATGCTATCACGAAGAGGCTGTAGCACTTACTGAAGTGGGAAAATATGGTTGGACAACGTACAAAAACCGGTTTGAAATCAGTCATATTTTGAATAGCTGTATGAAAAACTTAACGGAGGTAATAGACCAGTATCTTGCAATCTCAACGGAAAAACCATGGTATTTGTATTTTACTCAACCACAAATCAAATCATCAATTGGATTAGAAACTTGCTTAGATCTTTCTAAACGCTAATATTGCCTACTGGTTTTTAATTTGTGGGAAAATATTGAAAGCTCTTTGACCTAAGCAATCTAACCTTCTAAATGCGCTTTTCTCGAAATATTGGCATATTTGTCGAAAAAAGCTTCTCAACTCCTTCTTTTAGCGTGATTAATATGTGTATAATGATATGCGTAAAGGAATTAAGAAATTCAGGATTCAAGTCTATCTTAAAATTAGGCAAGTAGATTTTTTAAGATGATTTACATATCAAATTTATCACAATAGAGGATTTGCAGGCAAAAATTTGATGAATTTCGTGTTTAAAGAGAGTAAAGTGAACACCAGGATACCCTCGGTTCATAAATTAAACAATTATCGGAGGAGAGATGACAAAATGATCTAATCTACCAAAATACATGTGTTTAAATAGGAAATTTTGCCAGATGACGTTACTAAGCGTTATATTATTCATTTTTAAATCTAATTTTATGCCATGTCCCATATTCGAAAAGAAAGCATAAAAAACACTGCAAAATCAGCTCTATTAGCACTCTTAGATGCATCATTAAAACAAATTGCTTGCAAATTCTCCAGAATAATATTATAAAGTATTACATAGACCATGACTCAAAAGTAGCTCATAAGGTAGATTTTCTACAACTGCACCTCAACATTCATTTTTTTTCATATCTATACTACAGATATTTAAAATAATAAAATCTACATGGCTGATTTTAAGATAGATTTTAACCGATAACATCTTATTGTCATAGATATTTAACTCTTAGAATTAAACTTTTCTAACTACCAAAATCTGTAATTAAGAAAGTCTTCGCAACAAAACAAAATGCAAGAAGAGCAAAATTTCGAAAAGTAACGCCCAAGGAGGGCTAAAAACATCAAAAGGAATGCGGGAAAAAATCCGAATGAATATGGAGTACACTTACCGCGCACAAGCAAACGAAGAGAACACCAGATATAGTCAACATTCTGATGTACTCAACCACCAAAATCGGAGTTAATTTCCATTGGCAGCCGTATATATCCTCGTTTGCACGTAAGACGCATCGAACAAAAAGAGAGCGCATATTGGAAAAGACAGCGTTGACATGACGTTGAACATGCAATCTGAGCGCTGTAATTTTCCTTTCCACGGAAGTTCAAAAAAAGGGCGCTAGGAAAAAGCTTACTGCGTTGCAACATCCGACAAATGCCAATTGTTTCGAGGAAAAATTCATCAGGAATGGGGTTAGAAGTGGGGTCGCGTCTTTTGAAAAAAGCAGACATGAGTGGAGATTTGACTTGGTGTCATTGGAGCCAGATATTTTTACCGAATTATATTACTCACCCGAATATGCTAATTACTTTATGCTACCTAAGCTCTTATCACGCATCTATCCTCCCTGGAAATAAAGGAAGCATAGTTGACCAGCTAGTGTAATCCGAATATATTTAACTGATGGAACTGATGGTACAAAATTGAGTTTAGATGTCTGCATGTAATTTAATTTATCTGAGTATAAAAAGCGCCATTTTTTTAGCCGAGGTTTACCAGAGATAACCGCCACAGTAGCACCCTATCCTTCCATAATCATAGGAGTTGGCACTCCCTCAATTCTTATAAAACCTCCTTTTGATATCCTTTTATTGGGTGTCCCCTTCGTCTTCTCCCAGGAGGAACCCAATTAAGCATCGTCTTGGCAACCTTTCCTGCGCCATCCCGTTATCATGAACGTACCAGTCAAGCTTTTTGGGAATGACGTCAAATATTCTTTTCACTGCAACGTTGTAAAATTTCCTCTCGTCCCTCATCCATATCCGTTGATCCCAAAGAATTCCATTCAACATCGGTTTAGGCCTCCTTGCTAGTTAGGATACACGAGGTTAATTTTCCGCGAACTCATTATTATTCTACTCTTCACTTTTCAAACTTCTTCTCTTTCTTGGTCAAAAAAAGAATAATTTCAAAAGCTTTCTCCATGGAAAAGTTTCCGTGAGAGCGTGGTTCGAACTTTTTGTCTTTTTTTTTTGCCTTTTTCAATCGTTTTCCACATTAAATTTTTTTTGCACACCTCTCATGACACAATATGCGATAATGAAATGAGACCTTGAAAGTAGTCTTAGAGTGCTATGTCCTTCTCTATCCTCCTTCCCTACTCCCCTCCAGAAAAAAAAAATAATTTTTTTAAAGTTTACTGTTCTCTGCTGATGCGTTTGTCAAACGCAAGTAGAATCGTTTTTTGCGGGATTAGAAAATATTCCTCAGTCAATTGAAAATATCTTTTATCGCCGGTGTTGAAAGTTGACATCTCATAGCCCCTCTGACGTAAAGACGTATCTCAACTTCCACGTGAACCTAGTTGTTCATAGAATCCCATGCTTCCCAATGCTCATGTGGAAAAAAAGATACACCGTTAAGTAAGAGGAGCGACGATTTATGTGGTGACGTGCAATTTTTTCAAGGCGTCAAAAACTTATCAGTAAGAAGAATGTTCAGACTACAGGATCCAAACGCGTGGAAAATAACGAAATAAATATGAAAGAAAATGGAGAAAAATTGGTCTGCATTTTGCAATTTGGACCTATAAATTCTGGCTCATCTGAATAAACACTTATGTGCATAGGGAAACTAATGGCACATACGTTGTTTTTAAACCGGGCCGGAACTTATAGTTCCTAATTGCAAAATGTAGTCCAATTTAAATCTACCAGAAAAATGGCAAGCATTTTGCTCGCAACGTGCAAATATAAATTAGGAGGCATTTACTGCTCTGCTCAGAAATCACCGTCACATCCTGAAAACTTCATATCGGTATCGTTCCAAAAACATATTTGACAAACAATTTTTTCACTGACATGGCTCTGAGGCCTAATACCTGGTAAATACTAAAATTTATTCGGGAAAAAACCTGCGTATAATTTCCATTATTCTTGTGTGTTGAAATATTTCTGATAAATTTTTAGAGCTCGTATGAATCATAGGAAAATCGTCCAAAATCTCACCTTAAAAAATGCATTCCCTTTGATTACGTGGACGAGCTTTAAAGCTGCGCACTTAGAGCAAATGAGTTCCTCGAAAAAAATCTTGTTTTTCCCCGGTTACACGCAGCGACAATATTCGGAGAAAAAAGCGAAGCCAAGCGACCTAATGGAAACCTACTTTGAATTCTACTTTTAAGAGGAAAACAACTTGTAAATTTTAGATTTAACGCGCAGAGATTAAAAATTGAGACTAAGTAATCATGAACATTTACAATCAAGTTTACTCGGCCCCGTCTTTTACAATATGATATGAAAGAAGTAATCGCTGAAATATAGCTTGTCAGGGTTGCTTAAGTATTACGTAAGTCATTTCGGCCGACTTGCCGATCCCTGTAAGCCATTTGTAAATTGTAAGCCAAGCACTCTCCCATTTTTTGGAGAACATGAACCTGGTTTGTATTCCACCCTCCCAAATTGTTCTCATTAATAACGCAAAAATTAGAATAGTTTTTGAAATGACTTTCACCAGATCCAGGATTTGCTAGGTTACGATCATCGTCATCAGAGTATTACAGCTGATAAGAGACCGGAAATGACCAAATCATTCCGGAAAATATAGACAATGGAGAATTTGCAGGTGTCTGAAATTTTGTTGATTTCATCTTTAAAATGATACTACTAGAAAACTGAGTACGAGGATATGCTTGCTTTTAAAATTAAACAATTATTTGAGAAGATATGACAAAATAACCTAATCTGCTAAAATGCATGTGTTTAAATGGAAAATGCCACCAGGTGACGTCATGAGGCGGCACATTTTCTCATTTTCAAATCTATTTTTCTCCAATTTCCCACGTCAGAAAAAAATTATAAGAAATACTGTGAAATCAGCTCTTCAAGCACTTTCAGATGAAGCAATATCATTTTTGCATGCCAATTCTCCATCAATAAAAAATCGCAGAGATAAGGAAATTCAGTTGAGGTGGGCTTGAAACGTCCCTTAGCGATATCCTTCTTTTCCAGAATGTATCTTTCATAAAAAACCAGTTGCTACCCTGCATGTGCAATTTTTCAAAATACGCAAAAAACCACAGCACAGGGACGGGCTCCCGCAGTCACACCGTATACAATCCGTTTCACATGAGCGGGCCTCGGATTGCACGGCTGCGATCATGATGGACCCCGCTTCCGGCTCGGGCCTTTGTCGCCGGAACAATACAAAATGTAAATCGCGGGCGGTCCGATATAAAAGCTCACCCGGCGACGACTCGCCTCTCATCTCTCATCCATCCGTCGCTCGGAATCTCTCAAACTTTTCCAATTTTCCTCAATCATTAAGCACGACGACTTATTCAATTTGACTCTTCGTCCTCTACCGTTAGAGCGTCTCAACAGATGAAACTTGACGCCGGCCCCCACCTCTTCCCCCTCCCCTTACTCTCACCCCACCCCCACCCACCCCTCACCCCGTCGCACAGTGGATCGAGTCAATGGGAGAGGTCGGACATAATTTGGAAACTTTAAAAGCTTATCACTCCGTTTATACAAAACTTTGAGGTTTTAAAAGTGGTTCCATTGATTTTCCCGTGAAATTTTCTTCTCAAAACACCTCGCTAAACAGAAAGGAGCCGAGCCACATTAGCTATTGCCAAAGTTAATCGGGCAGTTTAATTTTGTTCATGAAAGCGGTTCTGCGGATGTGCGTGCAAATTCTAATGATTCTTCTACATAATACAAAGCAAATTCTTTAAAATTTTCAAAGGAATCCGCACAAACGTTCTCTCGTAAAAAAATCAAATTTCCCCGTTATATTTGGCAATAGCTGATGTGGCTTGGTTCATTTCTGTTTGACGTGATCCATTTAAAATAAGACGAAAAAACATCGACATTCGCAGCTTTAGTCAAACATATCATGTCCGACCTGTCCAATTGAGATGCTGCATGTGTAGGGAATTTGCGATTTAACTGTTGATTCTTACGTAAAAGTTGGCGAGAAACACGATGAAGCCACTGGTTTTTCTCTGAAATCAACTCCCAAGCTCGAAAAAAAGCTCTCAAGTTGAGGCCAAAATGGAGGGGATATCCAACGCTATTCTGAGAGTCCACCTCTATCAAGACAAACTCTCCATGCAAAGATAGGGAGCAAATACATTAGTAGGGTTGCCGTGTTTTCAATTTTGGAGTCCCCAAATAAAGTGGCAGCCCTATCAATGTATTTGCTCCCTATCTTTGCATGGAGAATTTGTATTGATGTAGACGTAGACTCTTAGGATAGGGTGGAATATCCCCTCCATTTTGACTTCAACTTGAGAGCTTTTTTCGAGCTTGGGAGTTGATTCCAGAGAAAACCAGTGGCTTCATCGTGTTTCTCGCCAACTTTTACGTAAGAATCAACAGTCAAATCGCAAATTCCTCACAAATGCAACATCTCCATTGACTCAATCCACTGTGCGGCGAGCCCTCCCCCTCCCCCTCCTCCTGGCCGACCGGTCGCCGGCGACGAATATAAATGACGCCGACTCGAGCGAACTTTTCAATCCGTTTAACGAAGTTTTTTGCTTGTCTTTTCGCTGCGAGGCGTCCGGGCCCGGCCTCGCGGGCAAAACAGCGTAAATAGAGGCTCGATTCGAGAAGCGGTTGAGTCGTTTTGTTGAGATAGCGACGCTTGGAGCCCCGCGCTTGCAAATTAAGCGCCACACCTGACAGAGTTACCTCTCGGCGTGCGGAGAGGATTATTAAAAATCAGAGGCGCTTGTTTTTTGAGTTCAAGGAGGAGGGATTTTTTATTTCCCGGAGATTCCGTTTTGCTGCGGCTTTGTGGGGGAGTTCCGTTAAGAAGCGACGGGTCGTCGCTGGTCAGCGTTTTGGAAATATCATAATACGTCGTTAATGTAAAATTTGGACCACATTTTGCAATTAGGAACTATAAATTCCAGCCCGGTTTAAAAATAACGTATGTGCCATTAGTTTCCCTATGCCTATAAGTGTTTTTCCAGATGAGTCAGAATTTACAGCTCCAAATTGGAAAATGCAGTCCAATTATGAGAGTAACGCGGAACGCATAATGCCAGAGGCGCGGAGCGACTCTTCACAGAATTGTAAAAAAAACATCAGATA